AAAAAAAAAAAAAAAAAAAAAAAAAAAAAAAAAAAAAAAAAAAAAAAAAAAAAAAAAAAAAAGTGTGTGGGACCTTCCTCCATTAATACAATACAATACTTCTTCCATATTTTGAAAATTCAAGAACACGCAATGATTTTTTCCAACTTTTTCTTGCCAACCAAACAAATCTCAATTTTCAAATTTGGAATTTTTGTTTTCAAGTACGGATTTTGTTTTTACTTCATTGTATTGTATCATATGAATGGGGACATTTTTCAAATATTTGTGAATTTCAAAGGTGTTTAATTAATTTTATAAATTTTTGAGTAAAAATTACGCTTTTCATGTTGTATAATTCTAAAAGTTGGTAAACGTTTTCGACTTTTACCTAACTTTTAAATTTTAAACGAATATAAGTTTATTTATTGCCGAAAAATTTAATATTCAAATAATTACAAATATATTTAGCTAAAATTTTATTTTTTTTAATTACATTTATATTCATAGTTTTGAAAAGTAAATAGAAAGGTACAAATTTACAAAATATATATATATATATATATATATATATGACAATGACCAAATAAACTTTAAGTACATGCCACTGGTAGATATTATCTTCTTTAAGTTTTTTCTTTCGAGCTTCTCTTCAAAGTTTTTAAAAGATGTGCTAAAGAGAGGTTTTCACACGCTTTAAAGAATGTTTCGATGTGAAATCTCACCTAAACCAATTTTCCGAACATCAGCCACTTGAAAATACAAGAATCAATGCTATCAAGCCAAGATTTCACTACCAAAAGTGAAATTTTCCCCAAAATCCTCAAGAACAGAAAGCTTCCAACTTATGATAATTCCAAGAGTTCAAAACAAACGCTGGCTATATCAACAATGAGGCATTTAAACTATGTATGGAATGATCATACTCATCTTGCCGATCTAAAACTCATTTCTACAACTCTCTAAAAGGAAAAATGCTTAGAATAAAAATCAAGAAGTTAAAACTATCACAGATGATCCAAGTTCCTCTGTGCAAACAGCTAAAAAAGATCTTGATTTATCTGTGATTCATTGATTCTGGCAGTGATCTGCAGAATCCAATGCCAGGACTTTTAGAAGTAAAGCAAAACAACAACAACAAAAACACCTATCAGCTTCCATTGTTTCCGCACGAACACCTTCAGCCGAGACAGAAAACTCGCAATAAACACAAAATTGCAAAAACGTTAGCTTCGTTCAGCTAACTTCGAATTTTTCTCTTCTTTTCCTTGAAGCTATAGGATGATGGTTCTACATGGTTAAGAGGCTAGAGTTCATGGTTTTTCTCGCTCGTGTTGCTAACTGCAATCCTGAAACGATTGACCGATGAAAAGTGACACAAGAGAAGCAATGAAAAAGTGCACGATATCCAACGTGTACAATTGAAAGGCAGAGCAACATTTTAAAGATGCAGTAACTGAGCCCAGGTAGGTGTAAACTTATCCACCAAATCGTCTGATTGGATTATAATAAAGTACACTCGGATAAAACTCGACAAAGCACTCGGATAAGATTTCTTGTGCATGTGTGCATGCTTAATCAATTCTAAATTAGTATAAAACTCATTATAGAAGTAGAGAACATGAGAAATGTTTCCTTAAAAAAAGATATGTGAAAAATAAAAATGCCATTCCTCTCTCCAAGATGAATCATCAATCGGGGGCCCTTCCTAATATCGGAAATGGGACCAACAAATTAAGAATTATTTCCGATTGAAAGGTCACATTCAGTACGCAGATAAAAGAAAATAAGTCCCATTCTCAAGCTTCCATGTTCAATACCAATATGTAATCATTGCCTATATGATTGAAGCTTTGAGATTAAAATAGGAGCTTGAGTTATTTATTTCTTATATACAGAGAAAATCACTCGCTGTTAGAAGGTAGTGGATCTGTACTTGATTTAATCAATTTTCTACCATTTTCATGAATATGTGGGAGATATATCAAGGGGGCAATAACAAAATTAAAAGAAAAAAGAAAGGCTTACCAAATATGTGATGAACAAGAGGCAACAATCAGCTCCCTGTAGAAGGCCTTTTTTTAATTACCAAATCATCAGCTGAATAATAATCAGCAATAAGCCGATACATGTATGATGAGTTGTGGCCACCACTGTGAAAGTGAAGAGTAAATAATGAGAAACAACAGACATTGTAATAAACATGATCAATATAACAGAATTCCTTCTCTTTTTTTTTTTTTTTTTTTCACTAAGAAAAAATATCAAATGAAACCCAGAGATTTGAAATCGAAACGAGTAATAGAAAAGCAAACTGATGTATCTTGTCTAAAAATGTAGCAATTGAATCTTTCAAAAAAGATTAAAAAACGCCATCAATAATTATTCCCATGTGATTCCTTTTTATCCAGGATTTGGGAGGTAAAGGAAGGAAATACAACAGCACAAAGAAACTACTTAAGAAAAAGAGCTGGACTTACGTGTCGGTGATAAATAAACTAACAAGTGAAGGTGGCACATAGTCAAATGTAGGGTTGACTACATGGAGAAGAGGAGAACCAGTTTTGGATCCAAAGTCCATGCAATCTGAAAATTCACCAAAGTCCAGAAGCTCTGATGGGGACCTCAGTTCATTGAGTAGAACTTCAGGATTGTGAGGATATAACGGGCATAACTGTCAAATAAGTAACAGAAATTTAGAAATAAAATAAAACAATAAGCAGCATACCAAGTACAGAATCCGGAGAATATTTTTCATATACGTGAAAGAAGGTTTGGAGTAGGTGCGGTTTAGTGCCTCATTGGTCTTCAACTAAAGTGTTTCATCATCTACTCAATTTTAAGAATGCTCGAGGATCATATTGAAATTGGGATCCTAAGGACACTTGGGCTATTAAACGTAGGCTTCTGCAACTACCGTAACATCTCTTAGGCAGCAATCCATGACCAATCTTGCCATATTCGCTCAAAATCTAGAGTGTGGGGGTCATCAACGCCAACATCATTTTGGTTAGAAAGGCCTCAGTCCTTCCTCTAGACTTTCCAATATAGAGACCACCAAGCAAAAAGGATGAGGAATGCGTCAATGTTATCAAGTAACAACTGACATACATATTAGCACCTTTCAAAGAGAAATCTCAATTCATTTGTCCATATCATATAGGAAAGCTTCTTCATGAGATTGGAAGACCAAGAGAAAATGAGAAGATTGTTTGGAACAAAACAAGGAAGCCCCCCTTTTGTTATGGGAAACATTCTTCATTTAGCACGCCTGAGTCAAATTTCATCCGCCAAAGAGATCCAAAAAGCCAAAGACTTAGACGCGGCATACCCAAATAAACCATAGGAAAGAAGCCTTTAGAGCAGCCCCAAATTTTAGCAACTTTCTAGATGAAAAGTTATTCCTCATCAACATTGATGCTACGATCTTAAGGTTTGGATAGCCTTAGCTATTGTTGAAGAAACCTGCATGCTGTTGTAGAAACAATCTAAACTTTTAGACTATATTCTTTTTTAATATGCGAGTTCCAGCAACTAGAAGATTTAATCATGAGCTTTATTTCTGAGCTTTTCTCTCAACCTATAAAATATGGTACTGTTCAATACCAAAATGAATTTCTACCGATACCAAAAATTCGATATGGCAACTGGCAAAACATTAATCGAGAAGTCATGCTTCCAAGATGCATAATATGCTCCAACAGTCAGCATGACCTTTTTTCTTCCAGTATTGGTGCAACAGCAAATCAAGAGTGGAGAAGTCTTGTTCTCTCATATTTTCTCTCTTGCAATGACTAGGCTACTTTGGGTAGAGATTTTCTTCTTCAAATCAATCAAAGGTTGGGGTGGGAATTCAAACCTCATATAGGCATCTAAAATGTCTTAAGCAATTGAATTATACAAGGTTAGTTTGGGTAGAATTATAATGAAAGTAAATTTACGTGACTAGGGCAATTATACTTCACGTGACTAGGGCAATTATACTTCTGTTCCTTTTATTGTCTCACCAAATCAATAGATGACACGGCCATAGATGGTTTCATTTCATTTCAAGAAATAAAATTTTCTAATATTATTTTGTTTCCACTTATCCATGTCGTACATGGAAAATATACCTATTCTTGATTATAGCCTCATTTATTTCTCCTGAAGTTCCTCTAGACAGACTAGGCAGTTACGCATTCACCCTAATGAAGATACCAGGGAGTCACTCAAAGCTCTTACCCACCTTCATCATAGTAGTCTGAAGTCATAACCGAAAGTTTTTATTCAGTCACTGAGCTGTATGCACTTAAGATACCCAAGCATGGATATTAACGTTAATTTATTATAGCTACTCTCTCCATTTCACAACCCGTCACCCCTGCTGTCTCTAAGTGGGTAAAAATGCTTCTAAATAAGGAATCAAACTACTTCAAGGGAAAAGATGACGGAACATGCAAGTTGGGGTAGGGCCAGGTGCTTTTAAAGGATTTATTGTCTATCATGGTTCACGAACTAGAAAATATTGGCATCATCAATAAAATCTTTTGCTTTTAAACGATTTATTGGGCATGACCTTTACGCACCGCCCTTTCAAGAATGCAAAAGTCGTGCTATGGAAAAATCTCACTATGATTTTCTTTTGGAATCAATGGAAAGAAAGAAATCAAAGAGTATTCACAGAAAAGACACACAAATACAAAATTCCTCAACAATGTTGTTTACCACGCTATATTTTGGTGTAGATTGTCTAATACTTTTGCTTCCTATAGTCATACCTCCCTCGTTGTAAGTTGGGAAGGTTTTTTTTTTTTTTTTTTTTTTTTTTTTAAA